CGATTTAACTGCTTGTAAAATATGAATCCATTTTCTTCCTCGGTGATTCTAAGAAATTCATGAATGTGTACATGTATTTTAAAAAAATCAAATGTGTAAATGAAAATGAGATACTTCTGTAGACCGTTGACCTTCATCAAATGAAATGATACACATGCAGTTATAGACCTTTTGGCACCAAACCTTTTAGCAAAACACACTCTCGCACCTTTTCCGATATTGTCATTGAAAGGTATTTTATAGTTCATTTATATTGAAGTGAGTAGATAAGTTGGCTTTTTAATAGAAACGTTAATTGGTTTGATTGAATCTGTTCTTGGACGGAAGTGGTAATTACAAGCTATACCGCCCATGCCCACCCCCCCGCACCGGCTTTAGTAAAATTCAACATTTAAACATGAAAATTGTGAAATTTTGAATTAAGAAACATCCGCAGATGTGACCATAAGACAGATATCATGGAACCTCCAACGTGACACGTTCATGCCATTCCATGAAAAGCGGCGTATTATCCTCAAGTAAAAGAATGCGTGTGTCCTAGGGATGCAAACAATAGGCAAAACTGAATTAAATGGAATTGCGAAAGGTAATAAAGCCTGCACATTTCAAAACAGGGTCTTTCAAATAGAAAAGATCCTGCACAAATCAAAACGTCAAAAGACAAATTTAAAAATCATGCAACATATCCTTAGTGTTATTACATGTATACATATAGTATTTAAGTACAAAATGTATTAAAACTGGGATCACCGAACTAGAAAAGGATCAAATAAAAATAACTGAAAGTACCACAAACATGGAGACACAAATAATTTGTCGTGTTTAACGATCTTCAAGGATCTAAAATATAACATCTTTGATAAAATGTACTGTACAACCTTTACAGCCGCCTCATCACACAAATGAAATACACTGATATGACAATAAACTATAGAAAAAACGGAATCCATAAAGAACGCCCAAAACGGCAAGATTGAAAATGTTGCAGACTCGGTTAGACTGAGCCTCGTCAGTTACCACATATGCCACTAGCACCGGCTTAAGCAAAATTCAACATTTGAAAACGAAAATAGTGAAATTTTGTCCACTATGATCACTAATTACATTGCATATATAATACCGCCATTTAAAATATGATGCGAATTGACAATGATGAACGTTGTGCTATATTTAATGTGAAAAAAAGAATACAAGCACTCCTTGTACCGGTTTATTCAGTTTTCGAATAATGCACAATTTAATTGTAACCATTCCTCTACCTTGGAATAACGGGGATTTTGACTTTTGAATCCTGGTAAAGTTTCCACCGACACATGACTAAATGCACCAAACTTGCCAATTGGACATATCCCCGGCATTTTTTTGGCGCCGAAACAAAACAGCCGCATTAAGAAGGCAGTTCAGTTAGAGACGGACAGTTCCCGGCACGGTAAATACTTTCCCCGGAATGGAACCCGGATTTACAACTGACTTGATGTTAAACAACTATGCCGGTTTTCCTAGCATTTTTACCAAGGTCTATAGGCCTTAGAACATAATGATCTTGTAGTAAGTGATCATTGAGACCACTGATATGCATTATCTTGTAAAAATACAAGAGCGTTTTAAGGAACGCTTCCTGTATATGCCAACAAATTTTTTTCTTTTGCATTTGGTTTTAACATACTTATTTAAGCTCGATTGCGAAACAAGTTCTTGCAACTTATATTAATCACATCTGAGTCCGCTTCCTGGAACCAATCAATACTGGTGTCATATAAAGAAACATGGTCTCGCCCGATTGGATTCGAACCTATGATCCCTGAGTTTGAGAGGCAGGTATCTTAACCACTAGCCAACGCTCCTCCCCTCTTTCATTATCCGTTGCCTATTCACAAATTTTCAAATTTGATTTCAGTTTGATATTAAGTCTGGTCATTGGTTTAATTTCCATTGGTTGTATTTGACTTATGAGGGATGATCCTACACTATGCTTTTATCAAAGAGATTTTATTTGAGCGAAAAGACATGGGTGGTAAGCAGGGACACACTGTGGGATCAATTTTGAACACGTTTCAGGGATTCAATTATAATTCTGAATTTCAAGTAACATAAGTTTTATCATTTCAGCGTAAATACGTAAATGTAGAATGTAAGCGTCAAGCTTACATGATTCTATTTTAAGTGTTATTTTTCAAAATTTCGTTCAGCTTTTTAAAGTACACTTGATGGTCAATATTTTAAACATGGCAAGATCAGTTCGTGGTTATAACCTTTAAGATTTTGTGAGACATCACAGCACGATTATCATCTTCACATGTGTCACTGGGAGGGTCATCTTCAATAAAGCTTTAAATACAGCTGTAAAATGTGAGAATTGCAACTATCCGCTGATTTTAATAGATAATTATGTTCTCAACTTTTTTCGACAAGTGACAAAAATTTCCATTTTACTTATATGCTATTAGTTATTATTAGAATTATAGATTATATGGACCAGTATGAAGACCTAGCTTATATAACCCGAGCCTCTATACACCGGTTATATACTTAGTGTATATAGGGTCATATAACCTATCAAAGGCCCTTAAAACGACTTTGTAATGCAGCACAGTACAATTCCTTTCTTTGATCAAAACATTTTAAAAAAAAAATTCCATTAGCAGCCGCCAAAACCGTCACGACATTACAAACATGATGTGTTAAAGGTCCATTATGCCTTAGAAATGCCATCAGTTTGATCACTCTGATACTTTATTTTATTTTTAGTATGCCTTGTTACCGTTTCCAAAAATTTACTCATTTGCCACATAGTTCTTCTTTGGCTCTATTGGCAGTTGGTATTATAATAATAATGAATAAGTATTTTGTATGGAAGTCGAAATAGTATTTTGTTTACATTTTGCTACCTTTATGACACATTACTGCCGTTCAGTGCTACAATCCTTCAGTTGTTAGACATCTAAAATGCTCTAAATCCTTTTTAAATACATTATTAAACTGTTGGCCACTCCTCTCGGCTTAAGTCAGGACATCGGCATCTGAGTCGTAAGGCGGACAAGCTTTTGAAGTCAAGGCCCCTGTGACCTCAAAATCAATAGGGGTCATCTAATGACTAACCTCCATGCCAAATATGAAGACCGCGGGTTACAGGAATCTTAAGTTATTAGACGGACCAGACTTTTTAGTCAATGCCCGTCTGACCTTGACCTTTGACCTAGTGACCTCAAAATCAATAGGGGCCATCTACTGGTCATAACCAACCTCAATACCAACTATGAAGACTGTTGACCAACTCATTCTAAAGGGATTGAGCGGACAAGTTTTTGAAGTCAAGGCCCCTGTCACCTTGACCTTTAACCCAGTGACCTCAAAAGCAAAAGGGGTTATCTAATGGTCATGACCAACGTCCATGCCAAATATGAAGACTGTGGGTCAAAGGAATCTAAAGTTATTGGGCGGACAAGGAAAAACCAAAGGACGGCCGGACGGACAAGCTGATTTGAGTATTGCATGTATATGTTTAACAGCTTATGAAAGCAGCGGCGAATGTGTAGTAATGTGTCGTAAAGGGAACAAAGTAGTATCTAATACTTATTCATTATAACTATACCACATGTCAACCAGACAAAAGAAGCAAAGATAGTTCATCGATGTGGCAAATGAGTATTTTTTGGAAAGAAGATAACAAAAAAATAAGTGTTTGTGAAATAAATGATAGCATGATTGCGGCATAATGGTACGGAATGCCGTTAGGGCCATTGCCTATGAATGTGTTGATCTGAAACGCGATAGTCGATAGTACGATGATGAAAACGCGAAATCACGAAACTACGATGGTGAAAATGCGAAAGCACGATGATGAAAACGCGAAAGTACGATGATGAAAACGCGACAGTACGATACTACGATGATGAAAGCGCGATAAACTATCGTGTTTTCACCATCGTACTGTCGCGTTTTCACCATCGTAGTTTCGTGATTTCGCGTTTTCATCATCGTACTGTCGTGTTTTCATCATCGTACTATCGCGTTTTCACCATCGTACGATCGCGTTTTCACCATCGTACTATCGCGTTTTCATCATCGTACTGTCGTGTTTTCATCATCGTACTATCGCGTTTTCACCATCGTACTGTTGTGATTTCATCATCGTACTATCGCGTTTTCATCATCGTACTTTCGCGTTTTCACCATCGTAGTTTCGTGATTTCGTGTTTCACCATCGTACTATCGACAATCGCGTTTCAGATTAACACATTCATAGGCGATGGCCCTTACGGCATTCCGGAATGCCGTTAGGGCCATCGCCTATGAATGGTTTGGTCTGAAACTCGATACTCGACAGTACGATGATGAAAACGCGAAATCACGAAACTACGATGGTGAAAACGTGACAGTACGATGGTGAAAACACGATAGTTTATCGCGTTTTCATCATCGTAGTATCGTACTGTCGCGATTTCATCATCGTACTATCGCGTTTTCATCATCGTGCTTTCGCGTTTTCACCATCGTAGTTTCGTGATTTCGCGTTTTCACCATCGTACTATCGACTATCGCGTTTTAGATCAACACATTTATAGGCGATGGCCCTAACGGCATTCCGTATAATGGGCCTTTAATTGTACTATAGAAATTTTAAGCTTATTGTTTTATACAATGTATGTCCAAACCCACTCCTTTCTAAGTAACATTACAATATTTAACGGGAACACCGAACAATGCATGCATGTTGACTTAAGTACTGTAAGTCATATAAGATGACAAAAATAGCTTTTTAAAAATAAATATGATTTATTTCATGACTAGTTTGCAAACATGTGCTTTTTCATGGAATATGTCAATAGTTACCAGCTATCGCGACTTTTTGGCCCTCTCCGTCAAACTTCGTGCGGGTATTTCGAATGCGATTTCAGGTTGCGGGATTACAATAAGATTTTAGAAAAAAAACATGGGGATTTCATTGTCAACAGGTTTTACTGTACTCACGATGCTGGGAGTATATTAAACTAAGAAGCGGGTGTAAATAGACACGGTGTGCAGTGAAACTGTTTTCTTTCACCCACCGGAGTTTAAGCTGGCGGGTTATTTGTACAAATATATCGCTGCGATTTTAAGATTTGTGGTTTTGTAATTAGTTCGCTTTAAGTGAAGGATATATTTAACATGTAGACACAAGCTGTATTTCACCAGTCTCGCTAAATGCAACATCATCCCACGTTCGGAATCCTTCAGAGATGATCGACAAGTTTTTTTGTTAACATCTTATAAAAGTTTCTGAAATACGATTTAATCAAGACTATCATCTAAAACTTAATAGACCTAGAAATGTAAATGCGACAATAAAACAAGGATTTATGTCGAGTTTCTTATTAACTGAAAGTGGATACAGTATGTGAAAGGATAAAATCAATGTTATTCTGTCCACAAAGTTTTTGGATTTAATGACTAGTCTTGTGTCAATAAACATGTCACTGAAAAGGTAAATACTTTTTTGTGCCTTTTAATTCTTTTAAACGTCTGTCATCATTACATATATAATAAAATAAGATATCTATCTATTTTCAAAGAATGTTTGAGAAATATTTTATACAGATATGTGTACTGAAGTGAAGAAGTTAAATCAATTCGATAAATATATGAATTAATATCTTTACATCTTCTAAAATGCATAAAATGACATCACATTAATATGCGTATTTTTCTTGTTTTATTTTATTTAGATATATTTATTTTCTGGTAAATATCTATAATTTTTTATTCAAAATTTAACTTATAAATAGTGACTTATAATAACATGTAATAGCGGATTGTTAAAAAAAAATACCATAAGTCTTAACTCTAATAAGAAAAGTAAAAAATAAAAACACAACAGTTTTCATAAAGTAATTAATTTATCATACAATAAGCATGTTTTATTTTATTTTTATTTTATTATTAATATCATTATTATTAATATCATTATTGTTATCATTATTATTATTATTATTGTTGTTGTTGTATTTTTACATTATTCTACTATTTATAGATTACAGTAGAGTACCTTAAGACAAAACTTGCCAACTTTAAAATCTTATAATATCAGGAAATTCACTCTAATGTCGTTTATATAGCACACTATAATACTTTACCGAAATTGATAAATATTTTGTATCAATTAGAAAATCACATTATGGAGTAACATTTTTTTAAACATCGTAAACTGATATAAATATCAAGGGTATTTAGTGAAAAGCGCTAACTGCATGTTTAATATTTAAATGATTGATATGTTTTTTTAATATCGCTAAGTCGTTTTCGCTGCACGGGTGATTAGATATTTTTTGTGAAATATTAAAAAAAAAATATGATTACTAGCGGAGCACATGGGGTGGTGAGAGATTAGTTTTTATCAAGTTCAGAAAGTCCGTGCTTTGCAAAGCAACTTGGGATAGGTCGCTTATAATATTTCATATTATTAAATAATGCATACAATCATCAATTTTGAAACTTAATCTATTGGCAATGTTAAAAAAAATCATAAATACATTTCTTAAATAGCTCTGCTGCATGCATAGATCGAAATGATTTATTTGGCGTTAGTAAGTACGTTTAATTAAATAAACAATGCATATATTCGTTATTGCCAACATGCACGCGACGTTGTTATCACGATACCCTTGTGATTGTAGAACTTCGGAGTAGATTTTTAATTGGCGGGCATGCACACATTCTATTGTACTGTATCTTATGTAAGACATTTGTTCACCGCACAGATGTATCAAAGCGGAAGGAAAACTATCTTAGATAGAAATGATACTACTGGTGTAGTATAGAATGCATTTATGAAACGTTCCGGGCAGAATTCATGTATTAAAACCAAGAAAGAAATTTAAACAATTCAATAATTTTTTGGCACACTTATTGAAAACTCGCGAGTCGTAAGTTTACAGTACAACCTCGACAAAGCAACACCTTTAATGATACAAAGATTTTTGGTTGTTGTTGAGAGAAGTTGCTTTAAGACGGGTTAAATTTTATCATAAGTCCTACTTTTAGCAGAATTGAAACTGTAGATGTAAAGAGGGTACTTGTTCTACAGGAGTCCGCTATATGGAGGTTGCATAATACATGTATACCAATTTCTATCTTGAACAGTTCGTATGGTGAACCATAATAATTTATCAATTGACGTGTGTTTTTATTTGTAAATGATAACTATACATCTAACATGCACAGAGTGCACAATTCTTGCATGGTTTTAAAGACACACAAATATTTTGTCATATTTATTTAAGAAATGAAATGCGTTTAACCGTGACATATCTATGCATAAATAGTATATGGGCTTCGAGTGCATAGTAATAAAGTCACGTGAGCGTTATTGAATCGAGGCGTTCTATTAAACGAATCCAGCACCTTAATGTTAAATATCTCTTATTTATAAACAACATTAATACAAGTGTGGTCCAAAACATGCTCTGAAAAACTAAACTAGAAAATGTAACAATACTTCAAGATACTTCAAGAATCTCCCTCGTTTTATTAACTTTGTGACAAGAGTTATTTCTAACGGGGGAGATTTCGACAGACAATTGTAGTAACATTAAGATTACGTGCTTCTTGAAATTCCAGGAGTAATGTAAACTCATAGACTCGTGGGAAATCTAGTTTATATGCAGGGGTTTATTAAGAGTCGTGCAGCGGTAATAACAAGCAAATATATATACTATAAAAATGAAAATAAAAAATGCTTGTAATATCAGTAAAAATCAAAAGTAGGTAAATATGAAATTAAGTGCTACCTATGACGCGGAAAGCTGTTATGATTTAATAACAAGTTTTTTTAGTAAGATATTATTTCTTACCATGTTAGTGCATTTAGTACTACATTAATTCAGTTTTCGCTCGTTTTTCTAATGCATTATTGATTACCACTATACTCGCTTTGCTGATATGTTAATAAATCTAATTGGTTAATTTATTCGAACTGAAGTTTTATTGTTAATAGCAAAAACTTTAGGCATGTTGGCAGTTTTGCACAATTAACTTCTGTGATATGCACACACACAAAAACGGGTATATTTTGGTAAATTAAAAACACATTTGTTTATTAGCATGATTTGGTGCACTAATGCACAAAATGTGGATAAGCGTAGATCTGATTATTTTACAACAGCAATACAAAAAGTATTTCGGCGCATATTATTTGCATCACGTGCGGGCACCTGCGTAGAACAACAAACAAGTAGCATTCACAGCATTTCTCGACCCTTTTCGTCAAACTTCGGGTAAGAATAACAGTCGAGGAGTTCCGATTGCATTTACAGCTTCCTCACATGAAACAATGCGTTATTCCTGCCGGGATTCGAACCAGCAGGGTGAGGGACAAGTGGTATAAAAATGGTTTCGTACCCATACAATTTACCAAATAATTTATTTGTGTATTCATGCTGCAACACATTTACTTTTAGAAATTAAGTCCATACGTAATTGTCACGCCGCTTTCGTAAATAAACGCTTGTCAATGGTACCAGCTAATAACAAATAAAATAATAATAATATAATAAAAAAAAACCGTCCAAAAGAGCGTTAGACTGTGAATTAGGTAACCCGGGTTCGTTTTCCGGACGGTGCAGGTACAGGTCACTTTCGTTTTGATTGATCATGCAATCCTCTATATGGTCATTCACACTGTACCTCTGCTCTGGGATGTACAAAAGTTACTCGTTCCTTGCAAAAGTGAATGCAACTAGTACTGGTAAACTGCTTGATAGCATGCACAGGAACGATGAGGTCGACATTTAACATTCCCAATTTAATTTTCCCAGATAGGTTTACAAAATTTCTTCTATACAAATTCAAATCGTTTTTATTTTCTTCTAGCTACATCTATTACTTAATTGGTCCCTCTTCAGAAATGTCAAAATTCAATTAAGATCCTATATAGAAATTTACGACAACATATAGCAGGCTAAGATCGTGAAACACGGTCATGTCACAGTTGTGAATAAATTAATTGTGTGAAATTTTACTTTTTTACAGACAAACACAAAGTTCAGGAGTTCAGATATCTCATTTCATACTGCAAAACATATTTTAACATATTTCAGAAAAGTAGTTTATTTTTTCGTATTTCAAAATGTTTAAAACTAAAATTTAAACGCAAATAATTTGATTTTTAATTGATGTTTTGTAAATTGCTGCTATTGAATTTAGAATAATGTTGCAATGGTAGTTCTCCTCGTGGTCACCATGGACTCTGTGATCGAGCGGTAGAGGTCGCTTTTGTCGTCTTATGTTTATTAATCACAATATAACTATGATAGCTTAAAAAGGACCAATTGCTAGCATATCACTAGTATATATGGCTAAATCTCATTAACTGTATGGCTAAATTTTGTTTAACTCGTGGCCAAATCGCATGCTATTTGTGGCTTAATCTCATATTACTTATGGCTAAATCTTATATAATTCGTGGCTAAATCTCATATAATTCATGGCTAAATTTCATATATTATTTAAATTAAACTATTTCTTATTTAATGTAAACCTAAATCTCGTTTAATTCATGGCTAAATCTTATATAATTCATGGCTAAATCTCATACTATTTATGGCTAAATCTCATAAATGTGTGAGTAAATCTCATATAAAATGTATGGGTAAATCCCGTACAATCCATTGTTTAATTATTTAGAAAATAATTATTACAAAATCGTGTAGTAAAATCTATATCTTATGTTAAACCTTTCAGCTTAGGATAGTTTTTATTTGTTTGGGTCGTCAGACCAAACAAATAATGGTAGCGATATTTTAGACTCTGGTGTGCTTCTTTTGCAAATACCAGAAGTAGTCCAAACTCCTCGAAGCGGTTATTTCCCTTTATAAGTACACTAACGCCGAAAAATTAAGGGAAAACCATTGCGTAAAAATTGCAAAAGGGTTACAAATTCTAATTTAGAACAATGTGGTTTTCACCGTAGTCGAGGAGTTACACGCTCGGTTAGTAAGCGAGTGATCCGGAGTTCAAATCCCAGTTAAGGCAACTTTTTTTAATTGTTTAAGCCAAATAAACATTGAGTTGAATATCAGTGTTACAATTAGCCTTATAGCCAATTTACTACAGTCATAACACTAAAAAAAGCAGTGGTGGCACTATACAAATACAAATTGGTTCATAATCTCACAACCTTCACCTTTCTGACATTCTGTGACCCAAACAAAGTCAGCGCCTTCTGTGCTTTGATTTGTTAGCTCAGGTGACACGCTTATTTCCCGGCACATGGACAGATCCAATTACATCTTATCATCATACAATTAATTGTTTAATGCAACATTTCAATAATTTAAACAAATTTATTTTCCTTTTTCTGCTACACGCTCAGAACTGAATGAAATTGTTATCATGATCGATTATATTCTAACATTTTAAAACTGATTATATGCAACGAAATGATATAAACGATCGCAATCGCTTTTGGGACAGCATGGTACAAAAGCA